ATAAATGTTTGTTTTACTATGGTTGAAATATCAAAAAATTTCTATATGTGACACGGCACCAGAGTTAAGTTAGGATTTTTCAAAATGCTGACGCGCCGAGCTCAAAAGGTTCGCAATCACTGGGCTAGAAGATATCCTTGCAGGATGGCTCATTCATGTGGTTGGTGAGTCTCTGCTGGCTGTATGCAGGAGGCCTCAGTCCCTCCCCAGGTGTACCTGTCCATAATGCTCCTTGAGTGTCTCACATGACTGCAGCTAGCTTCTCCTAGACCAAGTGATCCAAGGAGGAGGACAGGGTGGAAGCCACACATTATTATTTCTGAAATGATTGACAAGCCAATACTAGTCACTGGGGAAGGAGACTACATTAGGGCATAGACGCCAAAAGTCATTACTTATTAGGGCTATCACGGAAGCTGGCTACCACAATGTGTAAGAATGATGTTATACTTTACTTCCCAAAGGTAAATGTTCTCTCTGTTCCCCTCAAATCCTCGGTTGGTTGGTTGGTTGGCTGGTTGGCTGGTTGGTTGGTTTGTACTGCAACAGCATCAGAAGGGTGGTAATGGGCATTGGTTTCTAGGAAGCAAGGAAGTCAGTGAACTGTCAGTTCTTTCCAAAACACTTGTATTTCTGTATACCCCATACAGACTTTGAAAATTAGAAAATAAAATAACTATACCTTTAATTCTTAACATAAATTCACTGATCTGTTTTAGTGTAGTAACCCTTTTAGATAATAAAAGTAGGCTTCTAGAAATCACAGAGGATCATGTAAGGGCTAGGTCTGATTGAAATTAAGTTCTTTTCTCCCTTTGCTAGGAAATCTTTTCTGCTGCTCCCTACTACCCATGAAAGTCGTCATCCTCTTACACTGTGCTCAGCTCTCCCACTTGTTAGCCCTCCAGTGTTAGGCATATAACTTAATCTCCTTGTGCTTCCATTTTGCCATTGCAAAATGGGGGCAATAATTTTTACCTATTTCTTGGAATTGCTGTGTGGGCTAAATGACATGCCTCAGTGTGTACTTATTACGATGTTTGGCACATTGGTAAGCACTCAGATATTAACTGCTGCCACTTATTTATTATGATGGTGATGGTGGATGTTGAAGTCACACTAAACCATTTTTAGATGCCTGTTCTACCTGTCCATTTATTAAACAATTACTAGGTGCTATACCAGGTGCTATGCTAAGCACTTCGTAAACCTTATTTTGTAAATAGGTAGTATTATCGCCATTTTACAAGTGAGGAAATTGAGGGGTAGAGAAGTTTAAGTAACTTGTTCCAAAATTACACAGCTATAAGTTGTACAACTAGATCTCATACTCAATAAATGTTTGTGGAATTGGACCAGGTTTAAGAGATTGTCAGTGTGACTATCAGAAGAGCGTTTCTTAAGACTAAAAACTAGAAACTGTACACTCAGTGTTTGGTGATTCATAGTTGGATTGGATGCTTTGGGATGAAAAGATCTTAGCCCACCCTGTAAACCCTAATGCCAAGTGGCGTCACTTTACCAGTGCGAATGTGAAGGGAAGGGAATGCAGGAGAGCAAATGCTGCTTTTAAAGAGTTACTGTTTAAATGCTTCAGAAGAAAAGTTACAGAAATCACCATACATATTCAAATCAAGTGACAGTTTTATCAGAATTTTAAATTAATGAGCATTATTAATTGACAGTGGGAACAAAATAAGTATGTACCGAAAAGAATTTACGAAATGTAATTTTGTTCAGTCAGAAAGCCAAGTGCTCCGTTGGAGCTATCTTTGAGTTTGTAGGACCTCACTTTTTATTTTGTTTTGCTTTTTTCCTCCCTGTACTTTGTCTTCCAGGGGGGAAGAGAGGATTCTTTTCCTCAGCAAAGACATGTATAATTTGATTTTTAAATGCAGTACATTGCATTAGATAAAAGGTTTGGGTGTAGGTGTGTTTGAATATATTGTTATTTATTTCAGAGAGGAAAAGAGAGAGAGAGGTAGAAACATCAATGATAAAGAGAATCATTGATCAGCTGCCTCCTGCACACCCCCTACTGGGGATGGAGCCCACAACCCGGGCATGTGCCTTGACTGGGAATCAACTGGGAACCTCCTGGTTCATAGGTCGATGCTCAGCCACTGAGCAATACCAGCTGGGCTTTTTTATTTGTTTTGTTTGTTATTAATGACTAGAGGCCCGGTGCACGAAATTTGTACACTGGGGGGTGTCCCTCAGCCCAGCCTGCACCATCTCCAATCTGGGACCCCTCAGGGGATGTCCAACTGACAGTTTAGGCCTGATCCTAGTTTAGGCTCAACGCCTAACTGCTCCCAACTTCCAGCCTGGTCCCCCTCAACTGCCCTCCCCTGCAGGCCTGGTCCCCCCCAACTGTCCTCCTCTGCAGGCCTGGTCCCTCCCAACTGCCCTCCCCTGCAGGCCTGGTCCCCCCCA